TGAAAATGCAAAATTAAGTGTTCCGGGACGCATGCGGACGGTGGCACTGGGGTCTTCGGTGGAGCTCCCTGTGGGGCCACGATGCGCTGTACTGGGTGGGTGAATCGCAGGAGGGAAGAGGAGGGAGGGGGAGGAGGGAGGAAGGAGGGAACGCAGGCGCTGTCTCTTCAAAACGAGGACCCAACACCACAGGATGGTTGGGAAAAAGACGTCGTACGTCTGGGAACTATGAATAAATCCTCAGAACAATCGGAGAGGAGGAAGAGGAGGACGACGACGACGATGACGACGAGTGGAGGAATCAGGATGAGAATGAGGACCAAGACGAGGGGACAAGGAAGAGGAGAAGAGGAACATGACGAGCAGTAGAAGGAGGGGGAGGTGGGAAAGGATAAGAGAGAAGGGGAGGAGGAGGAGGAGAAGGAGGAGGAGGAGGAGGTGGAAGATCAGAAGGAATATCAGGAGGGAACGAAGGGAGACAACAGGAGGCTGACATGGAGGAGGTGGTGAGGATCAAGAGGATGAAAAGGAGCAGGACGGAAGAGGAGGAGAAATCAGAGGAGGAGGGCGAGGAGGAAGGGGGGGTCGAGCAGGCACACGAGCAGCGGCAGGAGCTGAGCGACGGCACTGGCGAGTGGCAAGCACAACAATCGGGGGGGGGAGCCAGGCGAGATGCCCGCTGCCCGGCGGCCTCCGCGAGGGCGCCGCATCGCCGCGCGAGGGATCCTGCCCATCCCGCCGCTCGCGCGAGATGGCCGCTGAGTGACTCCGCCATGCGCCGCCGAGCTCCGACGGGCGTCACCCGGAGGAGGAGGAGGGGGACTGGAGGAAAATGTGCCTCCACCACCGACCGAACGGCGACTGAGCGGCCCGGCTCGGCCGCTTGCGCCGGCGAGTTCAGGATAAAGGGGGGCGCCCGCCGCGCTCCAATCGCCTCGCATCCCTCCTGCTGCCGCGACTGCTCCTGGTCACCATCAGTAGCGGTAACAGCGGGGCCCTGCTCGTCCTCCGAATGACAAGTCTCATATAAATCTCATATATCATCACCCGCCGTCGTCATATTCGTCCTCAACACCATCATCGTCATTACCACAACCATGATCACCATCATGATCACCACCGCCGCCATCACCACCACCACCCCATCACCAGTACCACCTCCACCACCACCACCGACACCACCACCATCATTGCATCACCATCACAATCAGCATCATCATCAGCACCATCACCACCAGCATCATCATCATCAGCAGCAGCATTATCATCATCATACTCATCATTAGCAGCATCGTCACCATGATCATCAGCACTAGCAGCATCATCAGCAGCATCAGCATCAGCATCAGCATCAGCATCGCCATCGTCATCATCATCATATATATAATTAGATGTATGTTTTATATATATATATATAAATAATAATAAAAAAAATAAAAAAAAAAAAAAAAAAAAAAAAAAAAAAAAAAAAAAAAAAATCATCATCATCATGGGGCATCATCATCAGCAGCATCAGCATCAGTGTGTTGACAGCTCTCCGTCAGGAGGAGAGCTTTCGCAACCCGAATCAACGGCACAGCGTATTATTGCTTGTCTTGCTGATCTTCTTCCTGTAGCAGTTCAGGCTCACGCGACCAATTGGTGATGTATTTCTTCCCGCCCTTGCTTAAGTGACTGCGCCGTGAAACTTAGCTACGGTCACGATACGCAGAGAAAGCCTGGCCGGCCAGGAGGGGGCGCCTGGGGGGGCGCGCGCGCGCGCGCGCCGCGGGCGCAGCACTCTCTCACCCACGCGACCGAAGCCACAGCAGCTTCGGTAGTCATCGATGCCCCGCGGCCTCCCCGGCGAGCCGCACTCCCCGAATTGCAAACGCCCCGAATTGCGTTCACAGGGCGGCCCGTCGCGCCGCGCCCGGCAGGCAGCTCACCCGCCACTTGAGTCGCAGCGCTCCGAGGCGCTCGGCGCCTGGCACGGATCCGTCGAGGAGACACTCGCAGCATAGCCGCAAGCGCCCCTCCTTCTCTTCCGCTCAGCCCAAACTCTGTTCGCCATGGCCCCAGCTGCTGTAGCCTTACCAGTTCCCTAATCCCCAGCTCCAAGACGACCACCAGCTGTCGGCGTTCTCGCGCCACGGCGGAGGGGAATCCATGTTCGGCCGCACGTTGCCGGCGTTCTCGCGCCACGGCGGCGCGGGTTCCGCGCGCTGCCGTGAGGTGTCGGCATTTTCGCGCCATCGCGGAAAGAGATCCGCGTTCTGCCGTGAATCTCTCTCGGTCGGTGGCCATGGTGCCATGGTAGAGCTCGATGGGGCAGCGCCAATGTCCTCACGCTCACTCGACTCCGCAATATTGCACGCAGTATGTGCTTCCCCAGACACATGGAATTTAAGTGCGCTGCCAGGCGCTCCTGGGCGATCCTGGGGCCTGTCGTATGGCTGATCTCGAGGCGCTGGGAGCGTGGCTGGGCGTCCAGTCCCCACGAGTGCCCCGGATGGCGCCCAGGGACCATCCTGGAGACCTACTGCGGGGCACCGGGGGGCCGCCCACGAGGCCAAGATCCTTCGCAGAGTGAACGATTGCTGCGCGAGTCAAACCATAGACGGCCCAAGAGGCCCCGAGGATCGCTGCAAGACGGCCGCCGAGCCCCAAAGTGGAACCCAGGAGGACCCCAAAAAGCAAAAGGGCACAAAGGAGGGCGAGGAGCAGGCGAAGGATCAGGATGAGGGACAGGGGTGGTGGTAACTGATAAGAAGGAGTGATAGGGAGCAGGGGTCACCAGGGGGGCCACCGACGCGACGCGTGACGTGACAAGCCCGTGGGGGGGGGGGCACCGACCAGCCCTGTGGGGCCAGGAGGACAAAGGAGGAGGAGGAGGAGGAAAATACTTTGATAAGGCCGACAAGGAGGTCTGGAATGAGCGAGGAGAGCGAGAATGGGGCATAGGAGCCAGAACAGGAAGACAAGCAACAGAAACACCAATAAAAAGGCATCGAAGAAACCAAAAGACATGGTTCCTTGGTCGCGTTTCCGATCTGCGCCTCCGCGAACAATTACTTGTCCCTCCTTCCTATCCCTTCCTCCTCCTCTTCTCCTCCTACTCCTACTCCTCTACCCTCCTCCCACTCCTCCTCCCCTGCCAATCCTGCTGCTCCTCGTCCGTCCTTTCCTCCCTCCTCCTTCCTCCAGTCCCTCATTATCTTCCTACTTACCCCTATCATCCTTCCTCGTCCCTTCACCTCCCTGCCTCCCCTCTACATCCTTCCCTACTCTTTCTCGACATCCCGGATCCTCCCTACTTCTGCTGCCCCTCCTCCAAAACCCATCTTCCTTGTACTCCATAAACAACCACAGCCCTTCCATGTCGCACCACAGCCGTGTCGCCAGAGCGGTCCACCGTTTCTGGTTTTGGAGTGCGCAAAGCTACACGGATGGATGGCGGGCCGTTTTCAAAATGGGTACCCCGCCTTGGCACCGCGCACGCACACACACACACACACACACACACACACATACACACGCACACACACACACACACACACACACACACACACACCACACACACACACACGTCCTAAACAAACTCCGACGGCTACACGGGTGCCCGTGGTGCCGTTCCCAAAATGAGCCTCTCGCCTTGGCATTGCGCACACTCGTCCTAAACATGAACCTGGCGCGACCCCAATGAGGGGAAAACTTCCTGGTGCATGGGCGCAGTGCTTAGCTTGCTTGGCATTGCTTGGCATTGCTTGGCGTTGCTTGGCATAAGGCCACCGGGGAACCCGGGGAACCCGGGGAACACGGGGAACTCGGGGAACCCGAGGAACCCAAGGAACCCAAGGAATCCGAAGAAGATTTGGAGTCCCGAAGCGGTACGGTGACAGACCGTGCGGTGACCTCGAAATCCCCCAAGACCTCACCGCACAGTCCATCACCGCTCGGTCTTGGGACCTCGGATGTCCCAGTCGCCTGAGACGTCCTCGGAGAACGACCCGAGTCCCAAAACCGTGCGGTGACCCCGAATCCCCACCGACTCACCACACGGTGTGGTCACATCCCCCGTTTGGGGGCCCCCGAGAATCCGAGGAAGAGGAACCCGAGGAATCTGCGGGAACGGGCAAAGGAGGACCCCGAGACACCAGTCACTCTTCGGCCAAATAAGAACCTCTCAGGCAGGCCCAGGTGGGGAGAAAACCAACATTTGCACTGAGGCGGGGGGGTCGTTTTCACAATGGGAGTTTGGCACGGCGCCGCGCAAGCTTGTTGTAAACACGCACCGCAGCTACACGGTGGAGGACATTTCCTTTTCAAAATGGGTTTCTGGCCCGAGTCTCTCTCTCTCTCTCTCTAGTTCTAGTACCTCGCGTTTAACTGGCCATCGCTCGGACGTCCATTCCCTGTGCTTTTTGTTGGTATCGTGCGCGGCTTTTTCCCCAAATGATCAAGGATGCTCCTCGATGGTCCTCGCCGAAGGAAAAAATGCACACGTCCGAGCGATGCCAAGTTAAAACCGTGCAACACTTACACAAATGGAGGGCGGATCCATCTTTTGCCAAAATAAGGCTATCACTTGGGACGTCGGTAGCAGCCACACGGGTTGAGGACGGTTCCATTTTCAAAGCGGTGCCTTCACTGTAGACGTCGTTCGACGTGCAGTCAGAAGCTTGAAACTGACTCCGCAACAGCACGCATGGAGGGCAGTTCGACTTCAGAGCGGGACTGTCGTTGTGTCCCCTTCCATTCACTGCGCTAGAAAACGAAACAACGGCATAAACAGGGGTCCAGCGCAGATCCAAGAAATCCGCGCGGAGCGCCCGAAGTTATGTTTACGCCGTTCTTCTTCGCGCCGCATCGGCGATGCATCGGCGATGCACTGGCGATGCATCAGCCACTGCATCGGCGACGTCCGCGTGAAGAAAATCGGGCTCCACATCGAGCCGCATAGCCGATGCATCTGCGATGCATCGGCGATGCGTCGAGATCCTTCGACCCCATCTACTCCGACCCGATATGGGAGGCTCAGATTGCTGCGCTCCTTACAGCTTGAAGGACGGGGGGCAGCTGCTCTCAGAACGGAGCTCCCGCCGGAGTCGCGGTGCCCAGCGGGGCGTTCGTCTCTCCAGGGGGCGTTCGCGCCGCGACAGGGCGTTGCTCAGGGGGAGGAGGGGGAGGAGGAGGAGGAGGAGGAGGAGGAGGAGGAGGAGGAGGAGGAGGAGGGGATGGCACGAATTGGAGGAGGGCGAAGCCTTTCGGAAATTCGGAGATCTGCACCTGCCCAACGTCGTCATATGACCTGCTCGCGCACGGCCGCTCAACAGCAGTCTTCGGCGCAGGCAGCCAGCAGTCGCGTTCAGTGCGTCATGCTGGCCGGGGGCTCACGTCCCCTCGCTGCCAGTTCACGGCTGTCTGGCCACTCAGGGGGCAGGACAGTCTCGGACGCTCAGTGGCCGTTCTCGGTGAGATTGCCAGCAATCGCGTTCAACGTGTCATTGCTGGTCTGGGGTGTCACGCCCCCGGGGGGCCAATTAGGGGGCTTACAAATTTGGGCCGCTCAGTGGCCGTATCTGGCGCAGGCAACCATCGGCGCATTAAGTGCGTTCGGTGGTCGGGGAGTCACGCCCCCGCGCTGCCAGTGGATCTACGGAACATGTTCGCCTGTCAGTGGCGTCTGTCGGGCGCATGCAGGCGTGGTCGTCTCTGCCGGGATGAGACGAGTCACAGGGGAGCGATGCAGCGATGCTCACTGCCCACCCACCCACCCACACAAGATCTTCAGTTCGATCTCCCGGGTGCGCCTTTCATCTCGGACCCGCATTCCCGAGGCGTTGCCAGCACGGAGTGTTTGGGGGAACTCGCAGGGGGTGTGAGTTCTACCGGGCCCGTCCTCTTTGAGGTCTGAGATCTCAGGTTGCCCCCTCGATGCTGGGGGATTGAGATAGCATCAGACAGTTGAGGGAAGGGCCGAGGAGGAGGAGGAGGTGGAGGGGGAGGAGGAGGAGGATGCGGAGGAGGAAGAGGAGGAAGAGGTACGCGCAATAAGGATGCAAGGGCCTCGGAAGGCCGTCGACACTTTTCGGGCGGGGCGCGGGCAGCGAAAGCGGCCAAGGATGGGCCAAAGAGAAAGGATGCAAGGGTAACCTTGGAAAGTCACGCAATATTACTATGCGAATTGACTGTAGTGTAGCGCCGCTGTTACAGGTGAACGTTTTCTGATTTGGCGTTTCGACATTGGGCGGAGAGGGGGAGGGGGGGGTTTGGCTCTGGACCTCTGCTTAATGCGACTGTTTGCAACAGTGCGTCCTATGAAGGAGACTCCACCCGCTAGAAAACAGGCGCCAAAAACAGCCAAGTCCATGAGGGGGAAGGGGGGTGCGGGAGCACCCGGCGATCGCTGGGACCCCCCCACCACGTCTGATACCCCTAGCCCCTGGAAGCTTCAGGCGCAGGTTTTAGGGACCACCCACCCAAAGGAGGAGGAGGAGGAGGAGGAGGAGGAGGAGGAGGAGGAGGAAGAGGAGGAGGAGGAGGAGGAGAGGGGGGGGAGGGGGAGGGGGCGAGCACCCGCAAACAGGCCCCTCCCGCCATTGGGCCCTCCTCGCAGACCCCCCCCGTCCAGCGTGGAGAGCGCGGCGGCCCTTCGCTGTAGCAGGGCCGCGCAGGCGACCTAGGGGAGGCACTCGGTTTCCTCGCGGTCGTTGTCGTCGTCGTCGTCCTCCTCCTCCTCCTCTTCCTCCTCCTCATCCTTATCCTGGCGGGCTGGGCGTTTCGCCTGAGGCTGCCTTACCACTGGTGATCCTCCAGCTGGTAATGTGCAAGGGCTTCACGGATGGAAGGCGGGCCATTTTCAAAATGTGGTTCTCGCCTTAGCGCCGCGCATATTCGTTTAAAACAGGTGCAAGAATTTCACGGATGGCGGGTGGGCCGTTTTCATGCGGTGGCTCTCACCCTAGCAACGCGCGCATTCCTCTTCAGCTTGTTTACGAGCTTCACGGATAGAGAGTGGGTGGTTTTCAAAATCTGGCTCCCGCCTTAGCGACGCGCACAATCGTCTTAAACATCTGCAGAAATTTCGCGGTTTGGGGGCGGGCAATTTTCAAACTGTATCTCTCCTTAGCGCCGCACACATTCGTCTTCTACAAAAGCGTGAGGTTGTGGTCGAGCCCAGTGCCAGCTGCAGGCTGTGGGCAACCTCCCGTGCCGCCTTCTCCGGCATGGGCCGGGGGGCGCGCGTGGTAGGGACAAAAATGGAACAAACTCAACACAGAGTGCGGAGCCCGCCAGGGGCTCCCGTCCCACGCCGCCCCCATCGTGTCCCTGCCCCGCAGGTGGGGGCAGGGAGGACCGGGGCCACGATAAAAATGAGGATTCCAGAGAGCCGTGCCATTCAACTGCAGAGAAGAAGACAAGGAGGAGAGAAGCGACAGGGACGTGCACACAGAGCAACTCAGAAAAGCTTTGCTCGCAACCTGCCCGGCATTCCAAGCCCCACCTCCAAGGCGAGCGGCGCCGGCACGACAAATCACACTAACACCGAGGGCGCGTAATGAGGGATACAGCCGTTGGCGATCCACGTACCACCTTTGCAAAGCCTCGGGACAGCACAGCGTGCAGAGTAATACCGGACAAAAGTCGAGCTCCACAGCGGACGAAGTCGACACTATGAAGACAGCAGGGCTTGACCCCGTTTAAAGACGGAGGTGGGGGGTCAAGCCTCAACGATGCTCGTGAAGTAAACCAAGTGGCTAAAAGTGCAACGCAAGGGAATTACATGAAAAGGCTATGATATAGGTGAGAGCCAAACTGCACGGCCTGAGGAGCCCCTCCAGCCAGCTAGAAAAAAAGACGACGAGCTTGTGTCAACGTACTGCTGGCCAGACATGCCGGAAGATGGTCTCAGATGAATGTGAACATACGCAACACACACAGAGAGCCAGGTGGGCACGGTGGACAGGTGAGATTGTTTAGGCAAAATGCCAAGGCACGAGGGGCCCCCTGTACCGCGAGCCCCCCGCGCCCAGGTGGTCAATGGAGAACCCCACTGACCTGTGAGATCGTTTAGCCGCTGTCAGTCGTACTTGTTCCTGCAATACGTGCTGACCGCGTTCCTCGTGGGACCACGTAGGGGTAGATCTCATCCCAGCGTCTTCTACAAAACGCCCGAGGTTCACGGGTTGAGGGCGGTTTCTTTCTAACATGTGACTCTCGCCTTGGCGCCGCTCACACGTTTGCTTTTTGTAAGAATCTACAACAGTTTCAATGATCCTCATGCCTGACTGTCAAGACACAACAGCATGTACGTTAATTCGCGGTGGCCGCGGTGTTACAGTCGCAGGAATCGCGTTCTGGTGCGATTCAGGATCGTCAAGACGCAACAGCCACGGTGACTCGGGGCGTTGAATTCCCAGGAATGGTGTTCTGACACAGTTCATGATGTTCAAGCGGCTGTCTTGCAACGGGGCACCTCTCTCAGTGAAATGAACCCTTGAAGGGGTCTGTGAAGAGGGAACCTGGGAGGGAGGGTGTATGGCAATATCGTTGATGGGTCTTGCGCTTACACTGGTCCTTATGTTACATCATGTTCCTTCTGGGTAACTCCTCCCTGTCGCACCCCGAGGCCAGTAGGAAGGGCGGGCCGGGCGCTTCGCATGATAATTCCTTGTCACGTATGATCATGAAGCTTCAGAATTGACAGCTGTTTCGCGGATGGAGGGCGGGTCGCTTCCATACTGCGGCACTCACCTCAGCGCCACGCATACTCGTCTTAGAACATTGCAAGAGATGCATGGATTAAGGGCGGTTCCTTACCAAAATATGGCTCTCGCCTGAGCGCCGCGCACATTCGTCTTTGGTAGTTGCAAGAGGTTCGCTGAGTCCCTTGGTTAACGTACCAGAACGTGCGTTTTGGAACGATTCAGGTTTGTCAGGGCGCAACAGCTAAAGGCAAAGCGTATAATCAAGACGCACGATAAGGATAAAAGGACCTTGGAAGGCCATGTCGGCACTTTGCGAGCGGGGCGTGGCCAGCGAAAGCGGCCAAGGATGGGCCGAAGGGGAAGGATGCAAGGGTAACCTTGGAAAGTCGTTGATCCTTACAATGCGGGCTGACTGTACGGTGATTCGCGGTGCTGAAGTACCAGGAATGCTTCTCCAGCACGAATCAGGATCGTCATGACGAAAAAGTCTGGTTGCTACGTGGCGTTGGAGTCCTGAGAATGGTGCTTTGGCACGCTTCAGGATCTTGAAACGGTTGCCTCCCAACGGGGGACTTCCATCTGTGGAAATGAATCCTTGTAGGGTCCTGTGGAGAGGGAGCTTGGAGGTAGAGTTTATTCCAACATCGAGGAGGGGTCTCGGGTTCACACTGGGCCTCCTCTTCATCCTCCCTCCTCCTTCTTTCTCCCTCTCCCCCGCCTCCCTCCTCCTTCTCCTCCTCATCATCCTCCTCCTACGTCTCCTCTCTCCTTCTCTGGTCCTCGGTCACCTCCCCCTGCTCCTCCTCTGTCTCCTCCTCGTCGTCCAACGTGTCGTCCTCCCCCCCTTCGCCTGCCTCTCCTCACCCTACGCCCCACCAAAAACCTCATGGCCTTCGTTATCCTGTCTCGCCTCATCCTTCTCCCTTCCTTCATCCCTCTGGGCGCACGGTACTCGGCGTTCCTCAATTCTGAACAACACGTCAAGCCCGCTGACTCCGCACCCCACACTGTTCGGCCCACCCTGAGGCTCGAGGGACTTTTTGATTCGCGGGTCGAGAGCGCACCTCTTCCGGTCGAAGCTAAGCGGGCCGCGCAGAGCCTGAATTACGCAGAGAAGGGGGAGAAGGGGGGCGCAGCCTCAGAACGAGGCCAGGAGGAGGCAAGGCCTCGGAACCAGGCGGTGTCGAAAGAGGCTCGAGGGACACGCAAACGGAGACAAAGAGGGAAAGTGACCCCACGACTAGAAAGCGCAATCGACGCGGAAAGGAACGTCAAAACCCGGGCCGGGAAAGATCGGAGGGCTGCCCTCC